TTGGGGGTGCTCAAGCACCCCTAAATTTTAACTCAGCACCCCGGAAACATAAAGTAAAAAATATATATATTTTGGGGGGGGGGGGCTGTTTTGCGTTTGGGTTCAGTTTATTGCATTTATGATTCAATGCAACAAAACAAACAAATTTAAAAGGTAACAAATCATTGTAATACTTGATTTATTTACACAATGACTTTAATGGCTGGATGTTCGGACCCTGAGCTGCTGACTTTCAGTAACTTTGGCCCCGATGAGCAGTTTAGTTGAATATTCTCCTTTAGAGGGTGTGATACAGTTTATTCCATTTCCACAACCTAAACTGAGTTTGGAAAATTGTAAAAGATGATAAAGCCCTGCAGCCGACCTCATGATCAGCTGAATACTACAGTGATAAACAGGAAGTACCACATGTTCATCTGTACGAAGGTAACTGCAGGTAAATCCTCCATTTTCTGTCATAATTACATCTAGCACTGCTAAACGTCAGATTCTAAAATCGCCCCTGGTGTGATGTTAAAAATAAATAAAAAATAGAAACTGAAAAAAAAATCAATAAAATGCTAGTCTGATATTTTGAGTAGAGGCTTAAAAACAGCAAAGCAAAACCAAATCTGGACGTAGAGCAGAGCGGTTTGTCTCCGCTGTACGTCCAACAGCTTTTCTCTGGAGTAAAACATCAGACAGAAATTGTCTCTCCGATGCATATCTTGAGTCTGTCCAGAGAATTTCAGTGACTCAGCACCAGATCACAAAGTATGCCCATTACGCCACCTGAGCACCAGCACACTGGCTGACCCACTATGTGAAGGTGTTATTTATAAGACTGAGTTTGTTGCAGCTCCTCGGACTGAAGAAGACCTTTGGATGAAAGATGAAACGTTTCAACAAAAAGAAACCATCCAGCGGACCTGACTTAACTTTGTTAGATTTTTCTTTTTTACCAGGATTATTGAGCATGAATCAGGATATGCCAATTATGGGTTTAAATCAGAGCACGTCTGCTTGAATTTAAATGCATTCATGTTTTTTGTATCTACTCGCCTCCACAGGTTGAGTGTTTCCAAGCACAAACACATGCAACATGTTGACGTCAGGATCTTTCTTGAGGATGTTGGGTTTGGCGTGATGCTGGAAATGTCTGTGATTCCACCAGTTGGCTGAAGCTCCCTGTCAAAACAGCCCTTTTATATCAGTTTACATTTAGAAAAATAAAAGCACCAACAAAATATATAAAACTTTGACCTAGCACCTTCAAATGTCCCATGACAAACTTGTGCACCAGATGATTCCACTTGGACTTCCTGAACACAGACAGGTGACCAAAGTCATGCTGCAGCCATCCAGCCTGGGACTAGTGGGGAGGAAAGTAAATGAACGTTTTGAGTGTTTTTCCTTCATATTTGAAAAACAAAGACTACAGAGACAAGTAAATTCAAATGTACATCCACCAGCCACTTTATTGGGTACACCTGTTCAATTCCCTGTTAACACAAATCACCAGTCAGCCAATCACATGGCAGCAGCTTTATGTGTTTAGGCATGTGGACGCGGTGAAGATGACTTGCTGAAGTTCAAACCGAGCATCAGTTTGGAGAAGAAAGGGGATTTAAAGGACTATGGACCGGGCTTGGTTTTGGTGTCAGTCTGCTGGATGTTCACAGAACCATCTCTAGGATGAGTCTAGAGCCTCAGATGAGGAAATGTTTATTTGCTTTGCTATTGTCTGATTTTGATAAGTCCTTGAGAACGCTACCTTCATGTTTTTGGTGACAGGCGTGGCACCAGGTGTGGTATTCTGTGGCTGCTGATCATCTACTCCGAGGTTTGACAGGTTCTCTGTCAGAGCTGGTGTTCTGCAGACCTCTGCCGTAACGCGTGGTTATTTGAACTACTGTTGTCTTCCTGTCATCTGACTCCACAAGACATTTATCACAACGGCAACATTCAAAGTCAAAGTTTCTTTGTTGTCATTCGCACCATATGTGGTTAATGTGGTGGAACGAAATTGTGTACACAGGGTCCCAATTACATACAACAAAAATATTCAAATGTAAAAGAAAAACAGTAATAAGATCTCAGATGTGAACCAAAAAAACAAAAACAAAGTCCATGCTCAATAATCCAGGTATACAAGCTAACATTTTTCAGTCAGGTCATCTGGGCAGTTTTTTTTTTTGTATGCTGAAACGTTTCGCCTTCGATCCAGAAGGCTTCTTCCGTCCTACACATGCACATGGGGAGAACACACGAGCTCAAGGCTCAAAAGCCCTGGCTGGGTTTGAACCTGCAACCTTCTTGCTGTGCAATGACAGCTTTAACCACTGGTCTTCTGTGCTGATCACTCTGTAAATCATCACATGAGCAAGTTCAAAAAAACTCCAACCAGCTTGTCAGGCACCAAATTTAGAGTAATTTAAATCTTTTCTTCCCATTCTCAGGGACGGCTGTGGCTGAGTGGTTCAAGCAGTCGTCCTCCAATGCGAGAGTTAGGGGTTCGAATCCACCAGCAGTCACATGTCGAAGTGTCCCTGGGAAAGACACTGAACCCCTCATAGCCTCTGATGTGTGTCCCATCAGTGTATGGATGTGATAAAGCTCTGATTAGTCTCTTTAGAATGATTTGTTCAATTAGCTTTGTAGAGATCCAGTAGAGTGCTGTGTGAATGGGTTAATGAGGCACAGATTGTTGTGTAAAGCGCTTTGAGTATCTTAAAATAAGATAGAAAGGCGCTAAATAAGTACAGTCCATTTACCATTCTGACGACACTCTTTGAACTTCAGTTGTCTTCACCACATCTGGAAGTCTAAACACATTAAGCTGCTGCCACGTGAATGACCAGTTAACAAGTAATTGAACAGGTGTCTCTAATGAAGTTGGTAACTAATTCTTCTGTTGCATTATTTATGTTCAGATAACCTGAGCAGTTCCAAGCAGCAGTGCACACAGTAATGTCAGCGTCCAGCTCGTCCCCCAGTATGAAACCATGAGCCAGGCGAGGGCCTCCAGCAGCAGGATGTGACCCAGGTGGAGGCAGAAGAACAGAGGCCGAGCACGGAAAAGACCCTCTTTCCCCACCTGCTCCCGTAAATGATTAAAATCTTGAATGATTTTTGCCTGGAACAAAAAAAGGAGAAACATAATCCTTCAGGGAACATATATTGTTTAATGGTTTGATCATTTTCATATAAAAATATGTCTGTGAGTTTTTAAAGTGCAGTCAATAAAATGTAGCCAACATTTTCAATGTTCCTAAAACTGTAAGGTATCAAGTGAACAGTCTAACATTGCTGAAGATGGTGAATAAAATAACCCACATCTTTCTTCCCGTCGTGACTCGGTTCTGTTGGTGCCAACTCTCCAACCAGCAGAGGCTTCAGAAACTTCTGCACCAACTTTAGATCAGGATGAAAAGCAGCGAACGCCTCCTGCGAAACAACAACAATATTCTTAAATAACTTCTAAAGTGCTCACATGTTCTGATTCCACATGTTCTAGTTTGTTACCTGGACCTGTACAGAAATGTGAAGCTGTGTAATAAAACAGGAAAGTGTTCTAGTATCCACCACACCAAACTTTATATCAGGATTTCTGATGTTAACAGCAGCACATTCTGAAGACAAAAACTCCTTATTGACTAAAATGATGGCAGAGCGAGTCAGCCTGCCCCATCTCACTCTGTCTTCACCAACTAGTTGGAGGAGTGTGGGAAGGGTTTATAAAGCCTTAAATATATATAAATAATAAAATAAATATAATGCCACTACTTCATGGATTTTCACATACTGCGGGTAACACCTGTCATAGGTGAGGGATCACTGTAACTCCATGTCCTCTCTAACTGCATCCATATATCTCCTCTTTGTCTTTTTCCTGGCAGCTGCTTTTCTAACATCCTTCTACCAATATACCCACTGTCTCTCCTCTGGACATGTCCAAACATCTCAGTCTGGCCTCTCTAACTTTATCTCCCAGTTGTTCAACCTGTGCTGTACCTATGATGATCTCATTCCTAATCTTATTCAGCCTTGTCACTCCTAATAACCTCAAAATCTTCATTTCTGCCACTTCCAGATCTTTCTCCTGTCTTTTTGTCCATGTCTCTGTCTCCAGACCACACAACATAGCTGGTCTCACAACTGTCTTCTAAATCTACCTTCCTTCTCTGCATCATGCCAGTCAGCTCTCTACCTTTCCTTGTCATTGTCCCTGCGTTCAGAATGGTCCTAAACTCTTGAATTTCTCTTCTCCCTCTACTTAGAAAAAGTAACAAAATGGAAATGCATATTTATACAAACATACATACTTTTGTCCAGGTAAAACTGCATTACAGAAAATGTAATGAAAGTTAGTATAAAATATCTGGTAATGCAAAACAATATCACACACAGATCTTATGTTATAGGTAATAATCCTGACCTTATCGAGTCAATGAAACCTCAAAGAGCCAGCATTCGATAAGTCACACTCTATCATTATTTATGGAACAGAAATCAAGGCCGAGATGCAGAAACACTAAATGAATCTCTGAAGGTCCTCACAACACCCAAATGTGTTGTGACAGTCAGCATTCAAGTGACTTCAGCTTCATCACATCAGCTCACCATCACATGTTAGCAACTCTGTTAAAGCAATAATACTCAAGAAAAGCTTTATTTTGTCATATCAGTCTAAGGAGGAATCTAAAGAAACCCCTATTTTTACAGTGGGGGGGGAAAAGAAACAAAAATACAGTTTACTAAAGAAGTTCAGATTGTAAGGGGGTGGAAGTCCCAGCACATTTCAGTCAAGTCAGACCAGGCAATGTTCCTTTAAACTGCACAAGATCCAAAAGAGCTCAGCTCTAAACATGACATACGTATGAAAGCAGTGGTGTGGTCTACATTTTTGTACTGGGTACACTGTGCTTAGAAACCAAAGTACACTGGTTAGTACAATGTAATCGTAAATTTATTTAGATTTTTAAGCATATTAAACATTTCCAAACTTCTCTGATGCATGCATTTGAATAAAGGAACAACAAACTTTCTACAACTGTTGACTTTGTATTAAAAACGTGTTATAGAAATTACAAAACTGTATCAAAGCAAAGTGCTGCATACAGATAAATTGTTACTGAAGCATTTAACTGCCGTTTAACTTATCAATGGCGCGTGTCTAATGATATGACATGTATCATTGGGTACTTTTAAGTGGGTATACTGAAATGCTTAAGCTTTTCTAGTGGGTATACTCTGTATACATGAGCATCACGTAGACTACACTACTGGAAGAAAGGGCTGAACAAGTGGGACATCTTTAACATAGTAGTCAGAGCAAAGCATCTTTTCTCTATAAAGTTAAATAAACACATGCTTGCATAAGCAAAGTCCAACTGTGCTTTAGAACAAGTTTTTACAAACAGTTTGGATGATTTTAGTTAAAGAAAGACTAAAAGTGTTGTTTTCCAGTGAGGCTGTAATTAACAAGAGATCTAGTGAGAATCAGATGATTCAGATTAATCTGCCCTGACATGCACAATTTTAAATCAAAGTGTATGTGTTACATTTTAGAAAAAAAAAAAGTTTACCGTGGCATCCACTCCACTATAATGGCTGATGACCCTGAACCCCCCCGGGTGTCTTCTGGCCCACTGAGTGATGTTGTAGACCTTCCTGTTGATGACGAGCCACTGGTCGGTCCTGCTGCTGTGTTTCTGGACCTCCTCCCAGGTGTAGACACCTGCAGCCTTCCCGCTGCCCGGCTCCCCCTGCTCCGTCTGCTGGCCTCCACCTCCCATCCTGGATCCACCTGCAGCAACTGAAGGACCGGCCTCACCCAAAAGCCCCGAACCTGGATGTAAAAAAATGGTCCTCAGATAGTCTGCAGACATGTTGTGGAGGAAACAAGAGTTAGAGCTGGATCACACCGGAACACAAAGTAAACGCATGTGCAGCATCTTCATCAACACTTAATGATGAAATCAAACCAAACTGCAAGCTGTGAGCTCAAAACTGAGTTTTCATCCAATCAGAAAAGAAATACTCAAAGTTATCTACAGTGCATGGACTAATCCAAATATTTTATTTTCCAAAAAAACACAATTACAAAACATACAAAAACATAATCATCAGAGCATCACAAGAAACCTGTTTATTTGAGGGAATATTAATTTTAATGGGAGAAAAAGGATTGTTGGAAGTTATTACATCACATGGACATAAATCTGAAAGTAAACTTATAGAATCTAGAAGTTGGTTCAATAATTTAGTCTGTGCTTCAGTTATAAAAACAGACCGGTTCACTTTGTTTACCACACGGGTTAGTGAAGAAATTCAGTTAGTAAAAAACTAATTCTATGAATTTTCTCAAACAGATTTAAAAAGATGAAAGATTTCTGTGTTTGTTGCCAGTCAGAGCACAGCTTTCGCATGTTGAACCCCTCGTACGTGTGCAATAATCAGCTCAAGTGAATAAGCTAGTGTTGTCTGAGTGATTAAAAAAACTGCTAGAAATAAAAAAAAACTCACCTGTAAGCCGGTTTTGAGAGATGCTGGTGGTTTCACATAAATCAACGAAGTCTGCTGAACGCCTCACAGAAGATAAAGGATTTATACACTCTGACAGGACATTAGCTTATCATCACAGCTGTCAAAATAACGGCGCCATCCGAGGTCGGAGACGAGCAGCTGGAATGACCTGACCTCTCACAGCTTGTAACGAGGTCACATCATGAAATCTTATTTTCACTTCATTTCTGTTCAACAGCAGGTATTATAAGATGTTGCTCCACTGTTTAAAATGTAGGCAGAAGTTTTATGAAAAGTCAAAGTGTGCCTATATACAGAGTAAACATTAAATCACATCCTACACTGAGGCAGAAACAATTACTCCATGACAGAGAAGACTGCAGCTGAAATAATCAACGTTTTCTCCACTCTGCACCCTCCGAGGACGTCATTTTAGTTTGTGTCTGATAATAAACGCAAAGACAAGATGAACCTTCAGTAGAGGAAGACATGAAAAACTGCAACATTTTGTTTATGAATGCTAAATCTACATTTAAATAAAATATGTTTTTGATTGGATTTAAAGACAGACAGACAGACAGACCGACAGACGAATAGATTGTCAGAGAGA